GAATTACAGTTTTAGTGAAAGGTGGGCATGAGAAGAATGTAGAATGACAGAGTGGCTGGAAGGGTCAGTCAACAAGTTTGAATTTTATACTAGGGAAATGAGGATTTAACAATGGGTTTTAGCTGTTTTAAACAGATGCTACACCTGGTCAATGGTTTCAAAGTTCTTCTTAAAAGAGGTGGATTGCAGTAGCCAGTGGGATGATAGTGGGCATGACACAATACTTAAAATCTACTTGTGTAGCTGAACTTGAAGTATTCCCATCAACAGAAGACCATACCTTGAGGAACCAAGTTGGATTCAGAGTATGAAAACCAGAGCAGACTTGAACCAAATCTATAGTTTGGAACGAAGTACTGACAAAACCAAACTTCTATCAGTAAAAGCTTTCTTAGTTCATATCTATAGGTGTGAGCATATAAAAATATTGCTGTAAACCACTGAGTGCTGGGTGATTTGTTACACAGAAGTATTTATTACAATAGCTGTCTAATACAGAGAGGGAAGTTAATATAGGAAAGTCAGTTCAAAGATCATTAAATCTGGTGAAATAGAATGGTCCTCTCACTAGGGTAATAGCAGAAGAAATGAAAGCAGACATTTTGAGAAACAGGAGGAATAATTTAAAGGACTCAGTGATTGGATGGGCATCAGAGTTAGGGACAAAGAGCAGGAAAGCATGCCCAGCTTTCTTGCTAGTACAACTAGAAAAACAATGAGATCATTCTGTGAAATATAGGCCTCAGAAGAAGAGCAGGACCAAAAATTCTGCTTTGAACAAGTTCAATTTGAGGTGTGAATATACAACCTAGTCGGAAGGCCCATGGCATCTGTCTATTCATCTATACAATGAGGATAATATCATGTGCTTCTACTTACCTCACAGGGATACTGTGAACAGTGAGAAAAAAAAAACTATGCAAAAGGACTTTTAAAAGTAAATCTTATCAATCAACAGTGATACTTATAAAAAAGAAAGCACTTGTTCTTTTATTTTCTTGCTGCCAGATGCAAAAAGAAGTCTAATTTTACCTTTGAAATTATGCCACTGAGTTTGTTGCTAGCCACACATTCCTTTTAACTTTTTTCTGAGAGAAGGCAGAGCTAATGTTTCTAAAAAGCAAAATATACATTTTCAGGGAATTAGCCATAAGAAGCAGAATTTGTAGGGAAAAGATTTTAGGGCTGGTGGGCAAAAGAACCAAGCTCTCTTCTTGTGAGAACTTAGACAAATCCTTTTCCTCTCTTTCTTTATATTTATACTTATTGATTTCTAAGAAATTTTATCATTCTCAAGTACACAAAACAATGGATTCTTGTAACATTTTCAGTTTCACTTACCTCTTACCAATGATATTCTCTGAACTTAATCTATTATTTCACACTTGCCCTTCCTCACTCATGTTAGCTCAATCTTCATCAGCAACTTCTCTTTTGGAGCAAATTCAGCCTGTCCAGATTGCCTGTTATGTCCCAGGCAGTAAAGCTTATTTTCATCTATGTGTGAATGATAAAGATCTAGAAGGAGTTCTGATTGGTTTGCTTCTATAACTGCAGCAGGATTCCATTTACCACTTAGTCAAGGTGGTAATGAGGGTCTCTGTACCAGGCAACTGTGGCTGCCATCTGGCAGGCCAGCATTACAAGCCTGCCTGGCAGACAAAACCAATTAGTCAGTCCCCACACCTCCCACGAGGCCTTCCTGTGTTTGGTGGCTGGGTGTCAGCCCTGCTGAGCTTCCCACAAACCCCTGAGTTCTGGGGGAGGAGGAACAAGTCAGTTTTCTCTAGTATCATAGAAACAGCAAAGATTCCCAGATTAAGGAAGCCCAAAGACTGCTCACTCAGTGAGTATCCTACTCATCCTAATGATGAGTCTATAGCAGGATGGGCAGCTGGATGTACTAAGAGGAGTGTCAAGAAGCAGATTTCCATTTATAAGAGGAAAACTAGAATTGTCTCAAATGCTATGAAGATTTTGTCAAATGAGCCATGTTATATCCAATACAAAGGAACAGATGCAGATCTGTGATTTAGGACATAGAACTTGGGCTTCAGTTGTGGCTTTGCCACTTTTCAGCCTTATGACCTTGGCAAAACAACTGATCTCTTTGTTTCTCAGTATTCCTATCCATGAACTGAAAAAGTTCCTACCTCTTTAGGTGCTTGGGAATAGTAAATTAGTTAATGTATATCAGGAACTTAGACTAGTGCTTGGCACATGGTAAATGCTAACTGTTATCTCTGAATATGACTCTTCATAGAGCCATTAAAGATGTGCAAAAGATGAAGTTTTTTCATGTCCAAGGGAGAATTCTTGACATAAAGTGAATCAAATAGGATAACAAGAATGCATACGTAATGATTCTCATTCTATATCTATTCATGGAGGAAAGAAGGAAAAAAGAAGACCATTAGTTTTCTTTGGTTGAGTTTTATTTTCTTATAATTTTATAATTAGAAATATACATTTAAAATGTAAGTAAGGGATAATAATAAGAAATAAATTCTAGGTAAACATCATCTTATGTGCACACTTAAGAATCATTTTAACATTTCTGAGCTTCAGGTTTATCATCTATACCTGGTAACACAAGTAACAGTGGCACCTACCTCACAGTACTAATTTCAAAGAGCAAATAATAAAATTTACCTGAAATCTACAACTCAGTAATAAAGTGATTTTTAACTGTAATATTACCAAAGTCATCCTTAGGGAGTGACAAAATTAACAAGAAATTAGGGTGAAACTCAGAGGTCTTTATAAGTGCATAATAGAATATTTCACTTCTGAAAATTCATTCTCTTCTGCTCTAAACAGGCACCAAATTCAAGAACTAATCTATTTAAAGCCAAATGACATAATAAATAGAGAGTAGGGTACCTATATTCCAGTCTAGGGTATGCAACGAATACTAGCCAAGTCACTTTTATAAATGGACTTCATTGTTCAACTAGACCTTACAGAGTATAGTCTGAAGGCCATTGGTGGACTGTCAATCACTCCAAATTTGTAATTCTTTATGTGGTTCTTATGAACAAAAGATCACAAATCCATAAGCATTCATTTTCTCTATCACTGAAGACTGGCTAGCATCTCAGTGATTTAAAAAGGGCTATTAAAACTAAAAACTAAAAATAGTTATGTTTGAGTTTGCTGCAGACTTTAATCAGTATTCTACTAAAATATCTGGCTGTCACTTAATGCTTGGCAGCATTGCAAAACTCCTACTCTATGTATCTGTTTAATTGCAATTTCAGCAATTTTTGGAAATGGTACTTTGTTATCAATGAATCATTAGTTTTGTCTTGATTCAGATCCAGTTTCCAATTGCTGCTACACTTGCTTTTTAATTACAAATTACTAATCACTTAGATTCATCATTATCAAGCCAGTTTGTTATGGATTGTTTGTTTGATTGTTAACAGAGGATAGTGATATATATTTCTATTAAGACAGTTTGAGGTCTGTAATTTTTTGATATTTAGACATGATTACATTGACTTTGAAAATAAATTATTTCTTTCTATAATATGAAAGCAGACCATCCTCCAACAGCTGGACCTTTGCATGGATAATGACAATTAATCACTGTATTTACTACTGAGTATCACAGAATCAGCCATAGGCAGTGTAAGATTACCAACTTAAGGGGTGATCATCAAAGATGAAATGTATAAAATGATCTTGAAATTCATTTCAGATAAAAAAGAACTGTTTCTCTAGTTCCTGGTCCCCTTTTCCTATTGGCCTCAGTTGCTTTTAAGGTATCTGCTTTAGTTTCTCTTCATTAAGGGCAACAAATGCTAGCTAATTTTTTAGGTTTCTTACCTATCCTCACCCCTCCCTTGTGTGCTCTCGCTTTTATCATGTGCTCAAAGTCCAATCCCATTGTTGTGTTTGCCCTTGATCTATTGTCCACACATGAGGGAGAACATATGGTTTTTGGTCTTTTGGGCCAAGCTAACCTCACTCAGAATGATGTTCTAAATTCCATCCATTTATCAGCGAATGATAACATTTCGTTCTTCTTCATGGCTGCATAGAATTCCATTGTGTATAGATACCACATTTTCTTAATCCATTCGTCAGTGGTGGGGCATCTTTGCTGTTTCCATATTTTGGCTATAGTGACTAGTGCCGAAATAAACATGGGTGTGCAGGTGCCTCTGGAGTAACCTGTGTCACAGTCATTTGGGTATATCCCCAAGAGTGGTATTGCTGGATCAAATGGTAGATCAATGTCTGCCTTTTTAAGTAGCCTCCAAATTTTTTTCCAGAGTGGTTGTACTAGTTTACATTCCCACCAACAGTGTAAGAGGGTTCCTTTTTCCCCACATCCTCGCCAACACCTGTTGTTGGTGGTGTTGCTGATGATGGCTATTCTAACAGGGGTGAGGTGGAATCTTAATGTGGTTTTAATTTGCATTTCCTTTATTGCTAGAGATGGTGAGCATTTTTTCATGTGTTTTTTGGCCACTTGAATTTCTTCTTTTGAGAAAGTTCTGTTTAGTTCACTTGCCCATTTCTTTATTAACCTAGAAGGTAACACACACACACAGGAAATTAATGTGAGTCAACTCCCTGTATAGCTATCCTTATCTCAACCAGCAAAAACCCTTGTTCCTTCCTATTATTGCTTATACTCTCTCTACAACAAAATTAGAAATAAGGGCAAAATAGTTTCTGCTGGGTATTGAGGGGGTGGGGGGAATAGGGAGGGGACGGGGTGGGGGGAATAGGAAGGGGACGGAGTGGGTGGTAAGGGAGGGGGTGTGGGTAGGGGGGAGAAATGACCCAAGCCTTGTATGCACATATAAATAATAAAAGAAAAAAAATCCACTAAAATGCTGAAAAAAAAAAGAACTGTTTCTAACTTCTACTTCATGTAAAATAAATTAAGTTCCATTTGTGCAAGTATGTGTTTGCACAAACTTGTGTTTTTATCAATATTTTCCTAGTAAATTACCAAAAGAATATTGGGTGTTTCTGTTACTCACTTTGTTATCCAGGGATCTGCAACTGCATGTTCCTGTTAGGTGTTTCTGGTGGCTTTCTGGTTTCTGGTTTCCCTCTTCCATGTCATCTGGGTTATCAATGGCTTGCTGGTCAAGGGGGGTCAGCGGGAACTGGTGGGTCCCTCCTTGTTCATCTGCTTTATATTATCATGCATGGGTTTCTGGAGTGCTGCTTGAGTTTCTGCCTTCAGGTTCTCATTTTGCTTGCTGGGAAGAAACAATTTTGTGTTTTGTTACTCACAGGGCAGACTCTTCATGCACTAGCTTGGCATGAGAAACACAAGGTGTTACCCTAGTAGCATGAACAGTGGTAACTCAGCACCATGGAATGTAGAAGTAAACATTGGTTATTTGTCTCTGGATCATTTACCATAGAGAACCCATGCCATTATCTTCTCGGGCTTTGTCTTTCCTCTGCCCTCTTCTACATACTCATAAAGATAATCTATCCATCTGTTCAAAACCCTTACTTATTATAAGTATGCAACAGTGTGATAAATGAACCCTAAAGGTTATTACATTCCTTACTTATAAGTGTAACAGGCATTTTCAGCATTTGTAACTAGAAAGGGAAAAAAGTTGAAACAGTTCGTCAGGTTCAACTCCACTCTGTCTCTATTCAGTTGCTGCACATACAGACTTCTTATTCTCTTAGTGAACTTCCATTTAGGTTTACTATTAAACAGAGAAAAGTTAGAGGTCTGTAGGAATTACCTAAAAAATATAAATAATTTAAAAATTAACAAAAAGTAAGCCTTGTTTAGTAACTTTAGATTTATACATCAAATAACATGGCATCATTTTGTGCATAGAAAAATTTGAAAATCAGAAACTCAAATGCACAAAGAGAATGCTTAAAAAACAGACATAATTTTTAAAGTGGTTGACCTTATGAAACATCTTAGGAGTTAGGTAATTTTATCTGTTTTTTTAAAAAGTAGATAAAATTGTAAAACTCTTAAGTATTTAATAGTGGGTCAATGTGCTGAATAGTTCCTCTATATTCATATCATAGAATGTGTGGAGCCATTAAAATAGTTGTGAATAATCTTAACGACAAAATAAATGTCTGATTATGAAAATAAGTGAAAGTATGGTTCATTCAATTGTGTAAAATGCATGCATATAATGTGTGGCCATATGAAGCATAGAAAAACTAAGGCAGAAGCCAACAACAAGTACCTCTGAGTAGTAGAAATTGGGGTATATGTAATATCCTATTATATCCTATTATTATTCTAAATTTTCTGTATGAGAAAATATTATTTTATATTAGAAAGAATTAATTTCAAAGGTATTCTGTAAGTTTTTACTGTTATTACTGATACGGCAGAAAACATGGCAATTATCTGAGCATAAATAGTTGCTCTAATGCTTTTTGATCTGAATAAGGCCAAACTATAGGCTATGCATGGAATATATGTGCATCTGTCATAGTTATCCAATTGGTAGTGGTAGCATGAGAAGAAAAGAAGAAAGAAGAAAGAACACTGATGGAAATCTACATTTACATAAGGAATAAGAGCCCTAAAAGATGATTAAAAACAAATTCTTAGTAAGAAAGAGAGAAACTAGGAGAGTAGGGTCTTAGGAGAAAAACAAACATTTCCAGGAAGAGGGAACAAACAATTTCAAATTCTGCTGAGAAAGGTAAGTTCTGAAAACTTATCTTTTGGTTCAGTTGTAAGGATGTTGACAGGAATCTTAGTGAAGGGAGTTTCAATGAGATAACAGAGGTGAATACTAGACTGAAATGGGCAGAGGAAAGAAGGGGACAAGAAACTGTAGACAGGGAACATAACTCTGTGGAGGAGTTTGACTGGAAGAGGTGAGAGAGAGAAACTGGTAACAGGCATGGAATGTTAGGTTCCAGACAGGGCTTTTATTATTATTATTTTATTATTATTTATTATGTTTGAAGATTGTAGGGACTCAAACACAGTAAAATGCCAATGGTGAAGAGCCAGTAAAGCTGGAGAAAAGAGGGAGATGTCATTGCTGAAATGTAATGAACCCTGACAAAGAGAAATGTGATGTCATCATAAGGAGGGCAGATGCAGGGTAGAAACCTCCAAGAAAGGCAGTAGAGAGCTAGGTGAGTTTGTAGGCAAATTTGCGTGTTTAGTGGCAAGAAGTTAATCAAATTGCTGACAGCTTGGACTTTTTCTCTGATAATGAGGTAAAGTGACATATTAGGTCTCATGGGGAAAGTGGTGAGGTATGAAGTCTGAATTAAGAACAGATGGTTTGAAATAGTTGAAAAGAAGAGTGGAAGAGAGAGCTGGTCAGAAAAATAAGACAAGTGGCTGGCTAGTTATGTTGGTGACCACAGGTTTTTGTGGACTTGACTTGGGAGGGTGGATACTCTTTGTGCCCAGTGGTGGTCCTGGAACACAGAGAAGGCCGACAGTGTGGTTCATCTAGGCCTGGTGCATTGCCCATCTTCAGATCTTATTGGCAGTATAGTCAGGCAAGAGTTCATGGAAGTTCAGGATTATGTGAGGAGCAGAAAGTAGAGTGGGCAACCAAAACAGGAAATGTGGGATTTGAAGGCAAAAATGGTCCTGGGTCAGAGTTAAGTGTTCTGGGCAGTCTCAGCACAGAATTGCCTGAGAAATTCGTAGTTATCTGCCTGTCTTTTAAAACAGCCACAAAAATAACCTGTTAAGTCTGTTTCAAGTAAAAGCTGTTTTTTAAAAAATACATAGCAAGATAAAAATTAACATGAAAATGACTCTCAGCTGAGAAACAGCGTGTGTCTGTGGTTCTCACAAACAATTTGTCAACACACATTTGTTGTTATGTTGTTACAAACTCACAGTTCTTCTAGGCTTGTGTGCTAGCTACCTACATTACTGAAAATAGAAATTTGCCATTTCAAAAGAAAGGGAAAATACGCCATCAATAGTGTCTTGGAAGCAAGACACAGTTAGCTCCCTCACATGTACTTCTGACCTCAGCTGCGGCTCCCAGGGATGCCAGGAAGAGGTTCCTGTCATCCAGGAACTGAGAGCAATTAGGGAGGATTACAGTGTGCCTGAATGATAAATAAATGAGGGGAACTGTCCAATTGTTCCCTCTCACACCAGGCTGTTGCTACAAACCAGCCCTTTAGTGCCACTCTCTACCACATTAGAAAGAAGCATTGCAAGGGTGTGTAATAGCATCATCTGCCCAAGGCAATGTAGGGATCCCCATTGGCCCGACCTCCCATGTTACTACACCTCACCAGATCTCACATTTGATTTAGATTATACCCCTGCTGAGAACATGAAATCTCAAATAGAGGAGCCACAGGGCTCAGCAAAAGGTCAACAGATGCCATCCTAAAGGTCTGCCAACCTTGGCAGCCACTCAATGTCACCAATTTCCAACTGTATGCCAACTAACAGGCCCTAAGCCCTCTGGAATAAATTCCTAGAATGTGCCAGATAGTAAATGAAAGCATGTCTTATCTGGAAGTCAAAGAGATCATCAACACAGCCAGACTTTTTGTTCTAAAAAAGAAAAAAACAAGAAAATATAGTAGGAAACAGGAAGAGAATATACTGAAAACCTTACCACAGGGGAGCTGAAATGTGAAGTCTGTGTTAACATATGTATCAAATGTTATTGGAACAAAGTGTGAGGTTTTTTTTTTTAATGCAATGGAGTCATATGGTGTATTACAATATATATTTGATTTTCAGAAAGATCTTAAAAATATGTAAATTTAGTTCTCAAACTTATGCCCAAATAATTAATTTATTCATCATTACAATTATAGGAGGTAATATATTATAAATGATTATATGTGTCAATCACCACACAGAAGTTCTTTCATGTCATCTTTATAATCTACACATTAGGTATTATTATCACCATTGTACTGATGAGAAAAATGGATGATCAAAGAGGATGGTTAAATTGCCTACCCTACTAGTATAGGTAGAAATCTAGGACTTGTACCCAGGTCTGCTTGGCTCCAAAGACTTTGCTCTTCAAGTTCACGCCAATAATTTACAAATCATATAGCATTAAAAAGATATTGTAGTTTTTATTTGCTTTCTTTTTTAAAATGTTAAGCAAATTTTCATGAAAAATAATTTATAAAGGCTTCTAGTTCATCTTTTAACCTCATCTCTCCAGAATACCTCAGTGGCCATTCAGTCTTGGTTTGTACTTCCCCAGAGATAGGAAATTCATTACATTCTCAAAATTATTCCCAAATGAGTTATACTCATTTCTTTCTTCATAACACTGAGCCAAATTCTGATGTTAAGAAAATAATCTAAGTTTACTTTTCATGGTATTTGTACTACAGTATTTTACAGAATAATACTGGTTTCTCAAGTTAATGATTTTTGCCACAAAATTAGTAACCACTCAGCAATTATTCGGTCAGCAATTGCTATCTGTATAAGTTACTTTTAACTTACAAAAATGATATCTCAATGTATCTGCTGTCCTGCATTCTTTCTTCATTTACATGCAATTTTATAGCAATGGATAGGTTCATACAACAGACATTTTCATAAGTCTATCTTTCATCCATATATTGCTACCTTTTTTATGGACATTGGATTTGAACTCAGGGCTTTGAGCTTGCAAAGCAAGCACCCTACCACTTGAGCCATGCCTCTGTTCCATTTTACTCTGGTTGTTTTGGATATGGGAGTCTCTGGAACTATTTGACCGGCTGGCCTCAAACAAAGATCCTCCTGATTTTAACCCCTAGTAGCTAGGATTACAAATATGAGCCACCAGCACCTGGCTTATTGCTACTTTCTTGAATGAGGCTATGGTGTGCATCCAGTCTACCCAATGCATTAAGATTGTATTGTTTATAAAGATCTCATAGTTAGGAGGGGAAGCAGACATTTAAACAGAAAATTATAGTGTGATAATTTAAAAATAGAATTTATATGAAGAGAAATATAGAGTCATAGGGAAAGTTCAAAACAAATCTGTTTAAGGAAGACAGAAATGACTCTAGGAAAGAATTGACATATAACATAGCAGTTGAAAGAGAAAATAGGAGGAAAAATATTCAAGATCAGATGATAGACATGCTGTTGGAGAAAATGGCAGTGACTCCCATCTTTTAAAACTCAGACTGCCTGATGTAATCATGCAGGGTGCTGGATGATAAAATAGTTACGTGCATCACTCTGAACCTACCATACTGGAATTCCTGAAATAGAACAAGAAAATTTGTATTTTGAAAA